AAAGAAAAGGGAGGGGGGAGTTTGATTGATGAGGGATTTTGCCTTGAAGACACTTTCCTCATTTGATCTCTGGGTCCCAGTCTGCTGGAGGAGAAACTTAGAATGTCAGCCTGGCTGATTGAAGTCCAAAACTCCGCTTTGATCCCGCCTCTGGCTCAAATAATGTCCTTTCAAAGCTTTTTTTCTGAATTTTGGTGCCACAAAGATTCCTGCTGCTTAGCCATCTCTAGAGCTGAGTTGGTTTCCGTGCACAATGCATTGTTGTGTTGGTGTGTGCATTCAGGTAGATTTGTTCAAGACCTGGTCAATTGTCATGGTTGAACAGTTGGTGTTTGGACAGGGAATGCCTGAGTCAGTCTTTGGGCCTGACCCCCCAGGCCAGTCTCTGAACAGAGTCATATATTTGGTTTGTTTAGCCAGCTTTCCAAAGTCAGTCATGGTTTATGAAAAGATACAGGGACGGTTCCTTGCAATGGACTGAGCTTTCTAGTTGAACCTTTTCTTTCTTTCTTTCTTTCTTTCTTTCTTTCTTTCTTTCTTTCTTTCTTTCTTTCTTTCTTTCTTTCTTTCTTTCTTTCTTTCTTTCTTTCTTTCTTTCAAACTCTTAATTTCTTTCTCCTAAAAAGAGAATGAGGTAGAAATGGAGGCCGAGCCTGTGACTTAGAATAGAATAACAGATTTTTCCTTCCTTCCTTCCTTCCTTCCTTCCTTCCTTCCTTCCTTCCTTCCTTCCTTCCTTCCTTCCTTCCTTCCTTCCTAAATCTTGCTGGAACCAACTGTGGTTTAATGTGTTCTATGCGCACAGCTTCCCATAAAGAATTTATCTTTTGTTTGGGTTCAATTTAAACATGTAAAAAACAGTTGCTGGAATTGGGGATGTCTAGTTTAATGAAGAGAAGGACGAGGAGGGACATGATAGCAGCCTTCCAATATCTCAGGGGCTGCCCCAAAGAAGAGGGAGTCAAGCTCTTCTCCAAAGCAGCTGAAGGCAGGACAAGAAGCAACGGATGGAAACTAACCAAGGAGAGAAGCAACCTAGAGCCAAGGAGAAATTTCCTGACAGTTAGAACAATTAACCAGTGGAACAACCTGCCTCCAGAAGTTGTGAATATTCCAACACTGGAAGTTTTTAACAAGAAACTGGACATCCATTTGTCTGAAATGGTATAGGGTTTCCGACATGAGCAGGTCTCTTCTCTTCTCTTCTCTTCTCTTCTCTTCTCTTCTCTTCTCTTCTCTTCTCTTCTCTTCTCTTCTCTTCTCTCCCCTCCCCTCCCCTCCCCTCCCCTTCCCTTCCCTTCCATTCCATTCTTATTTTTGATCCGGAATTTGATACTTAAAAGTTTTCCACTGTGTTTAGATGGCATTCTTTCCAAGTTGTTGCTGTTGTTGTTGACATTATTTTGTTCCTGCTTGGAAACAGAACAGGGCAGAATGCCGCTGATCAATCTTGCACACAGATTAATTAGGTGCGAACTTTTACAAGTGCAAAGTGGTTTGTTTCATTAACGAGTTTTGCAGTGTTTTGATTTCCACCCCCCTCCTCTCCGCCCGAACTGTAGCAGGAACATAGGTTGCACGGGGCCAGAAAAGTGAAAGAACATCTTGTTTGCAAAGGGAACAGATGCTGAGAAGCTGTTGTGAGGTGTGAAGGGGAAAAGTGTAAAGTGGACGGCGAGTCTCTTGTGGGCCTGAACAGAAGGGAGACAAAATTGAAATGGGACATTTAACGGATTTAAAATAGCACTGTCTCTGGGTTTAAAGGCAGAATATCACCGCAGGAGGGAAATAATCCAGCTGCATCGTGCCAGCTGTTCACTGGGTCTTGTGTTCATTAGTTCACATATCCAGTTGTTATTGTTCAAGAATATATTACCACTGATCATGGAGGTAGGTAGATCTCCTGCACAAATGGGTTTATTTGTGGGCTCCTTGATCCCCGTTGAGCTTGGTTGTCTGCTTGCAGACGTTTCAGTATCCAACTAAGCAACATTGTCAATGCTATAGGAGAGTGGGGTTTGTGGAATGGAGGAGGAGGAGGAGGAGGAGGTGGTGGAGGAGGAAAGTTGTGGGGGTCCTTGGTGTTCTCTGAACTTGGTGGTTTTCTTGCAGATGTTTCATTACCCAATTAGGTAACATCATCAGTGCTAGAAGGGTGTGGGTATGAGGAGGAGGAGGAGGAGGAGGAGGAGGAGGAGGAGGAGGACAATGACGATGACTGGGACTGAGCTTGGTTGTCTGCTTGTAGACATTTCATTCCCCAACTAGGCAACATCATCACTGCTAGAAGAGAGTGAGGAAGCGTCAAGAACATTCCCATCAAAACTGACAGGACAAGCCACTAATAAATAGAAAGAGAGTAAACCCAACTCCCTTCTAGCACTGATGATATTACCTAGTTGGCTCATGAAACGTCTGCAAGAAAACAAGCAAGCTCAGAGAGCACCAAGGACCCCACAGTCCTCCTCCTCCTCTTCTTCCTCCTTTTCTCTGCATACCCCACTCTCTCCTAGCACTGTTGATGTTACCTAGTTAGGGTAATGAAACATCTGCAAGAAAATAAGCAAGCTCAGAGAGCACTAAGGACACCACAGTCCTCCTCCTCCTCCTTTCCCCCCCCCAGCACTGATGATGTTACCTAGTTGGGTCATAAAATGTCTGCAAGAAAACAGCCAAGCTCTGAGAGCACTAAAGATCCTAGAGTTTAACCCTGAGCTACATATATTCGATGGGTTGATGTATTTAAGAATTTATGGGCTGTGTTCAGAACATTATTTATACAACATCTGTACTCCTCAAAAACGGTTAAACAGTAATATAAAAATAAGTATACAGCCCCTCATAAAGCTTACATAAAATAAATGAGAGGAGATGGGTGGCAGGCAGGTTGAATAAGTAAATAAATAGATATTTTATATAAAGTATTATCTCCTTTTTTCCTGCCGTGTGCCACCACTGAATCTATAAAGTGGGAGATTTAGGGTAAACCTCCCATTTTATAAATTTAGGAGATCTGGCATGATTGCAGCTGCTGAGCTAGATCTGAAACCAGATCCCGCGGTGACGCACCTGGAGCGTCACAGATCCTGACCTCTGGGGAGTAACTTTTCACGTCTTCCTTTCTTCCTTAACTTGCTTTTTTTTAAAAAAAAATTTAAATGACACCATCCATCCATTCCGATGCGGCAGCCCACAAATCATAGGCTTAATTACTCAACGTATTTACCTAATCGCTTCTGACAATGTTTAATTGCCTTTTGTTTCTTAATTGCTTGGATGCAGAGCTAACTTACAGCTAGTTTGGTAACTCAAAAGTGAGTGAAGTCTAACTTCCACACGAGTCCAGCCGTAACAATTGGGACACGGCTCTTGGAAGAGTCTCGTCTACTTGCCAACTTCCGTGCGGTCTCTATAAAACTTTGAACGGTTCCGTACCTGGAACAAAAAGAAATTGTTTAGCCTCACTATTGCTATCTCGCTTTTGTAATCAGCGTTTGCGTCGGGGACAAATTTCATGCAAGCGTGGGAAAACATGTACATGGATGGGATGTAGTGAAGGAGGGAATAAGGAAGTGTACAGGAATGATTGAGGTCTTCCTTATGATGTAATGGCTCCGTTGGCTAGCAAAGTTTATAAAGCAACCCTACTGACTTTCTAAGGTGTGGCACTTCTGGACGTAACTTTGCCAGCTGTTCTGTCCCAGCCTATGTGAGTCCTTGTTAATTCACAAGGACGAACCCCTCTTTTAACAAGTAGGCTGGAAATGCAGGGAAAACAAACTCCCTTTTTATTAGTTAGGTACAGACCTGCAAAATGTCCCAAAGGCAAAGGCAAACAAAACACGATGCAAACGGAGAATTGTCCAAGGCAAACAAAACAGGATTCCATGAAACTTGAGTCCTTTGCAAACGGCTGCCTTTAGCAACCAGCACCACCCACACCTTCCCTTTTTATTATGCAGCCCCCGGGCATGGCTTCTCAATGCCTTCTCCTCCTCCCTTGGAGTCGCCCCATTGCCTCCCTTGGTTCTGCTCTTGTTTCCTGTCTGCGTTTGCGAGTGTCTGTGAAGTCTTCCAGCTCTGAGTCCTCAGAGTTTGACTCCACTTCCCCGCACAGCTGAGTCTCAGCCTGAGCACGATTGGAAGGGCCAGGCTCTTCATCAGATTGTAAGTCCTGGGGCTCATCAGAGTCTTCCTCCGACTCTGATGGCTCTCCAGGCCCCTCCTCCTCCGATTCCCCGGACTCAGCTGCCGGGTCCAGTGGCTGGCATGGACTCACAACACCAGCGTTCCAGATTATTCGCCACCCAGCTGTTTTATTTGATCAATTAAAGCCCTGTTTCCTCAAGAAGCCCCCGCTTGCGTTGTCTGATTAGACTTTTTAAGGGTATCTCAAATTTAAGTAAGGGCCAGGGACCTTACACCTTGGTTTTTTTTTTTTTCAGTTTGAACGACAAGTTGTGTTTTAAAGCAGCTCTAAACAACCTACTAGAAGTAGTCCTGGACTTAACAATGGTTCGTTTAGTGACCGTTCAAACGGCCCTGAAAAAAAAGGGAGGTGACCATTTTTCACGCCGACGGCCTTTGCAGCATCCCCACGATACACGTGATCAAAATGCAGATGCTTGGCACCCGGCTCATACTTATGACTGTTGCAGTGTCTCCCGGGATCACGTGATCCCCTTTTGCGACCATTTAGACAAGCAAAATCAATGGGGAAGCCAGGTTCGTTTTACAACTGTGTCGCTAACTTATCCGCAGCCGTGATTCCCTTAACAACTGTGTCAAGAAAGGTCGTCAAAGGGGGTAAAGCCCATTTAACAAATGTCTTGTAGAAAATCCAATGAAGTTGTGCTTGCACTTTTGTAACTCTTGAACGTCTCTCTCTTTCTTCCCTTGCTCCTCTCTTTCCCTCCTCTCCTCTTTGCCTCTCCTTCTCTCTCTCTTCAGGAGTCCACGGAATGGCGCAAGAATGAGAGGGAAAAAGCAGAACGAGAAGCATGAGCTGGAGGGTTGCTGAGTTCCTCTACTTCCTCTTTCTATGGGACCATATAACTGTCCACCCTTCTCACCAGGAGCCTGCTGTGACCAACCAACATGTCTCCAAGGAATTTGACTGGCTTATTTCAGACAGGGGGCCGTTCCACCATTCGCGGAGCTACTTATCCTTTGTGGAAAGACATCGTCAGGGATTTACAACCCGATATAAAATATACAGGTAGGACGAACGATGGACGTAATCGTACTCACGAGATGGCGATCTGGAGATGACGTGGCCCATGGAATACGAGCTGGTCGTGTGATGTTTTGGAATAAGCAGGACACACAGCCCTGATGTGTAGAAAATACAGTGGCGTCCTTGGTGGTCTCTGAGCTTGGTAGATTTCTTGCAGATGTTTCATTACCAAACTAGGACACATCATCAGTGCTAGAAGGGAGGGAAGAGTGGAGAAGGAGAAAGAGGAGAACGAGAAAGAGAAGGAGAAGGAAAGGAGAAGAATTATGGGGTCCTTCTTTGAGCTTGGTAGTTTTCTTGCAGATGTTTCATTACCAAACTAGGACACATCATCAGTGCTAGAGTACAGTGGAGAGTGGAGGAGAAGGAGGAGAAGGAGAAAGAGGAGAAGGACTGTGGGTCTTTGGTACTCTCTGAGCTTGGTAGTTTTCTTGCAGACCTTTCATTACCAAACTACAAAGGAGTGGGATTTGCAGAGTGGAGGAGAAGGAGTGTGAAAGGAGAAGGATTATGGGGTCCTTCTCTGAGCTTGGTAGTTTTCTTGCAGATGTTACATTACCAAACTAGGTCACATCATCAGTGCTAGAAGGGAGTGGGGTTTCCTCCATGTTTACAAACAGTAGAGATAAAAAGGTCTTCTGTCAAAACTTTGAAGACACCCATATATATCATCGATGCTACGCAAGGGCTACTGTAAACCAGCACTTTCTCCATTGCCTCCTAAATGGGAGAGGGTACATGGGTCTAAGTTGAAGGATGCTTAGATTTGAGCTGAACGTCAGAAGTAGCCTCTTCTTTCAAACAATGTGCATCGGATCAGCTACTTTTAAAGAAGAAATAGATCACTATCCGTCACGCAGCAAAACATTACAGGTTGGACAGTTGCGGGATTGCAGTGGTTGGTTGTACGTGGCCCATAAAAGTCCTTCCGTATTTATGGTTCCATCAAAACGTTGTTGTAGGTGACCTCCAGAGAGGGGAAAAAAACCCCCAGTCTTCTTGAATCAAAGGAGGTTGTCAAGGGGTTTCCCACAATTGTGAGCTGCTGTTCTCCTCCACTTAACCCCCACAGTCTAATGTTGGGATTGCTGGCTTTCCAAGGATGCCTCCCTCTAAAACACAAGATTGATGAGGACTTGTTATGGTGCACGGTTGGGGGAAAGAAAGAAAAAAGGTAGAGCTGGCTCATTTGCAGAAGATTGGCAAGGATTTCTGATCCGCTTGTTTCCCTAATGCGGCAATAAAAACACTCTCTTTTATGCACACACATGTGCCGTACAGCTGAAAGAAGAGCAATAAGGGGTAATTAGAAGTTAATTTTGAGGGCTGGAGAGACTGTGAATTGGGTTCCGTTCTAGTACTCAAAACAAAATTCTAAGATTTGGAATTCTTTTACTTCTTTAATCTTCTACATTAAGCCACTTTAGTTACATTTGGTTGCATGATCCCAGGCTGCATGAACAAAGGGATAGAATCAAGATCACGTGAGGTGTTCATACCGCTTTATAAGGCTTTGGTAAGGCCACACTTGGAATCCTGCATCCAGTTTTGTTTGCCGTGATGTAGAAATGATGAGACTCTTAGAAGAGTGCAAAAAATAGCAACAGAGACGTTAAAATGTCTGGAGGCTAAAACATATAGTTGCAGTAATTAGGTATGTCTTTTGTTGTTGTTGTTAGTTGTGAAGTCGTGTCCGACCAATCACGACCCCATCGACAACGTCCCTCCAGGCCTTCCTGTCCTCTACCATCTTCTGGAGTCCCTTTAAGCTCACGCCTACTGCTTCAATGACTCCATCCAGCCACCTCATTCTCTGTCGTCCCCTTCTTCTATTGCCCTCAATCTTTCCCAGAATTAGGCTCTTCTCCAGTGAGTCCTTCCTTCTCATGTATGTCTAGTCTAGTGAAAAGAAGGACTAGGGATGGCTGCCAATATCTGAGGGGCTGCCACAAAGAAGAGAGGGTCAACCTATTCTCCAAAGGCAGGACAAGAAGCAACGGATGGAAACTAATCCAGGAGAGGAGCAACCTAGAAGTAAGGAGAAATTTCCTGACAGTGAGAACAATTTACCAGTGGAACAACTTGTCTCCAGAAGTTATGGATCCTCCATCACTGGAAGCTTTTAAGAAGAGACTGGGCAGCCATTTGTCTGAAATGGGTCTAGGGTCTCTTGCATGATGAGAGGGTTGGACTAGAAGACCTCCAAGGTCCCTTCCAACTCTGTTATTCTGTTTCTCTGTTATTTTCAAATTTTGGGACTCTCACACATAGTTACAGTGATCCCTAAGATATAATTTTCTCTTCTTCCTGCATGGAAGTGTTTTGTAGTTTCTGGAAATTCAAGACAGAATTTCAGAAAGGTAATTCTATCTAGTCGTGATTTGACTGATTTGATCTTTGGGATATTATCTGGGTGTGTGGCTCCACCGAGATTAGATTCAGTTTGACAAATTGATTTGAACAGTCCATTCAAACTGCCAGAACACATTGATTTGATTGGATAAAAGCATGTGCACAAGTCCTTCAGATCTTCAAATTGATTTGAAGGACCCTGATTGGATCTGATGTAGCAAATCAGTCTGGTGAACTGACATGAAGATACAGGAGACTGAACTCTCCTTATGCTGGAAGTTCACATGGGTGAATTGCCCTTAGTAGAGTATCACTCTACTATCATCTTACTACATTTCAGGGTGTAATGTTTCTGCAGGGTGTTTTTTGTTGGTCTCTAGGTCTGTTTCTAATCTCAGTGTGCACCCATTATGCAGATATACCAATAAATAGCAATAGCACTTAGACTTATATACCGCTTCACAGTGCCCTACAGCCCTCTCTAAGCGGTTTACAGAGTCAGCATTTTGCCCCCAACCATCTGGGTCCTCCTTTGACCAACCTCGGAAGGATGGAAGGCTGAGTCAACCTTGAGCCGGTTAGGATCGAACTCCAGACTGTAGGCAGAGTTTGCCTGCAATACTGCACTTTAACCACTGCGCCACCATGGTGAAAATGACACAATTTTCAACTTCCTGGCGAATGTTTATGGCCAATGCTAAGAAGGGAACCAGTCTCTGAGGGAGTTTTCAGACTAGTAGAAGATGTAATGAAATGTTTTGGATTAACAAAGTCTTCTCAACCTTGGGCTGAGTTGACAGCTTATCTTCTAAAGACACAGAAATCCACAGGTCTCTCAAGAACTCTCTTGAGAATACCGTGGTGTTTCTCCTGTCAACTATCACGGAAAGGGGTTTAATTTTAACTCTTAAGGTTTTAAATTGTTGTTTACATCTGGAGACAAGCTTGGTTTGCTGGTTTCTTGATCCTCAAAACTCCTGGAACCTTTTATAGTCAACTCTTCCATTGCCAACTCAGATTGTAATGAAAAGCAGACCCAGATCTTTCCTGCTTCCTCCATGTTTCTGTCTATTCCTTCTGATGTTTCAGGATAGTCCAAAGTTATCAATCTTCTCCATCTCTTTTTTTTTAAAAAAATCTTAGAACATAGAATCATAGGTCTGGAAGGGACCTTGGAGGTCTTCTAGTCCAACCCCCTGCTCAAGGAGGAAACCCTGTACCATTTCAGACAAACGGCTGTCCCATTTCTTCTTAAGTGATGGAGCACCCAAAACTTCTGGAGGGAAACCATTCCATTGATTCGTTGTTCTCACTGTCAGGAAATTCCGCCTTCGTTCCAGGTTCTCTCTCTCTTTAATGATCTTCCATCCGTTGCTTCTTGTCCTGCCCTCAGTTGTATTTCTGGAAAACTGCACGATGGGAAAGAGTCTTGTCTCTGTCTGAGAAAACAGCCTTTCCCCTTAAGTTGTAATTGGCTGACTAAATAACAGTTAAGGCTGATTTAATTATAATTATAATGAAAGGGTAAGGAGAGACGTTTCCCCCCCCCACTCCCTTTAGGGTTTAAAATTACTTATTTCGCAGGAGTTTTTATTTGAAAAAAAAAAGCCATTTCATGGCACATAACCCCTTTCTACTCCCAAAATAGAAAGAATCAAGACATTTGTAAGAGCAGATAGAAGATATTTACTTAACTCGGGGGGAGAAAAAAAACGTGGTGTCATGCAAAAATGGCTGCATTTATTTCCCATTTTTTTTGTGTGTGGGATGTTCGCACACTAATTTACAGGCTTTGCACGTTAATAAATGGCAACGCTTGGCAGGGTGATTTGATGGGGAGGACACTGGGTATGGAGAGAGACGTTTTACTGTGGTGGCTTATAAATGTAATTAATACCAATAGGAGCAATCTCACAGAACCATTCTAATCCGGGGCTGAAAGAGGTCTTTTTTTAAATTAAATTAATTTATTACATTTGCCAAGTGGACTGGCTCCCAGCAACTCTGAGCAATCCACAGTTACTGATAAACACCTCCCTTCTAGCACTGATGATGCTACCTAGTTGGATAATGAAAAGTCTGCAAGAAGACAACCCAGCTCAGAGACCACCAAGGACCCCACAGTCCTCCTCCTCCTCCTCTTCCTCCTCCTCCTCCTCCTCTTCCTCCTCCTCCTCCTCCTCCTCCGCTCTTCAAACTCTACTCCCTTCTACCACTGAAGTTATTACATAGTTGGGTAATGAAATGTCTGTAAGACAACAACCAAACTCAGAGAGCACCAAGGACCCCACAGTCCTCCTCCTCCTCCTCCTCCTCCTCCTCCTCCTCCTCCTCCTCCTCCTCCTCTTCTCTTCAAACCCTACTTCCTTCTAGCACTGAAATTATTACATAGTTGGGTAATGAAATGTCTGCAAGACAACCAAGAGCACACCAAGGACTCCACTGTCTTCCTCCTCCTCCTCCTCCTCCTCCCTACTCCTCCTCCTCCTCCNCCTCCTCCTCCTCTACAAACGTCACTCCTTCTAGCACTGATGATGTTGCCTAGTTGGGTGATGAAATGTCTGCAAGAAAACAAGCAAGCTCAGAGAGCACCAAGGACCCCACCGTCCTCCTCCTCCTCCTCCTCCTCC